GTCTGGATCTGAGAAGGTTTCTGGAGACAAGACATTTAATCAGGGGAAATTTATAAGAACAAGCTGAAATAAGATTATTAGAGGTTGTAATAAGGAAGAAAATCTAAACTTGAGACCAGACAACAACCAGTCTAGTAGAATCCAGGAAATTAATACAGAAAGGTCCTTCGATGATGCCGTCAGGACTACAGCGGCAACAGGTGAATTTCTTTGTTAGCAACTTGAATGTTCTTGTTTATATGTGGAGGTCAAAGAAGTTTGGGGGGACAAATATGCAGCAGTTCCCTCCAAATACAGCACGCCTCCCATCTGGGCTCCAAAATCAGACTGTCAGTTGAGGAGCACTTTGTGTTGAATCTTTTGAAGTTCTTGGGTGAGAAAGTTGATGTTCTTTATTACATCATTTACCTAATGACTGTCTCCTGGAAGATGTGAGAGTAACAGCTCATTCTTTTAATTTCTTTTTAAAATATATCTTTATTGATTTCAGAGAGAGACAAAGGGAGAGAGAAAGAGAGAAACATCAATGATGAGAGCGTCATTATTGATCGGTTGCCTCCTGCACGCCCCCACCTGGGGATCGAGCCTGCAACCTGGGCCTGTGCCCTGACCGGGAATCGAACCGCGATCTCCCGAATCCTAGGTCAATGCTCAACCACTGAGCCATGCCCGGCCTGGCTCAGCTCATTCTTGAGTGCCCCATATTGTAGGTGCTCCAGGCAAAAAGGTGGGTCAAATGTGATCAGATGTAGCAGCCTAGTCCTTGAGATCACCTACCAAGCTCTCAGATTCCCTTTAAGGGTGCCATCGGATCCAGTGAAAGGAAGAATGCAGTAGAATTTTGGTGGCAGCCTCCACATTTTCAGGAAACAGTTGCTAGTGGACTGTCAAGACCAATGATAGGTATTGAAGAGATCAAAGAGGAATTTAATCTAAGAAGCTGGTTGGGCTTCATACCTTGTAAGGGACTGATAAAACGATTAGGTAACATGAGTGTACTAGGAGCTCTCAGTAGGCTCTGCCTTGACAAGTGAGATACACAGTTTTCATTTGAGTCGACTAAGAAGGATGGATAATTCTTCATCATAGGGTTATCCTTTCCACCATAGAAGCGGAGAAAAGGGTATGGCTGTAAGGGGTATATCCTGATTAGGACTTTCCCATATGTAAAACTTTAGTGCCCTCAGATGGTAGCACCGCATGGTGGAGTTATTTAATATTAGTAGGGCTCCATTTTCTGTGGGAAAGTTATGAATAGTTACAAGAGTTGTCATCAGAGTAGTCATAGTAAAAGATTATACACCCACACACACAGAACCTGGAACCTACTCCAGACTGGATCTGGATAGTAGTTTAACTGATATAAAATATAGGAAGAATTCCCTAACACTGTGTAGGAAAGACAGCTAAACTAAGCTGTGGAGGTTTTAAGGATGGGAAGGAAAATTGAGGATGGTTGAGCTGACAGGAATGGTAAACAAAAGCAACAATTTTATAACATTGCAATAACTATGGTGAGAGATGGGTACTAGACTTATCAAGGTGATCACTTTGTAAGCTACATAAATGTCTAATCACTATGGTATACACCTGAAACTAATATAATATTGTATGTCAACTGTAATTAAAATATAAATTTAGAAAATAATTTTTAAAAAATTTTAAAGCAACAATTTTAAGAAAGATTTTAAGATTGAGTAATCAGTTCAGCAAAAGCCATCCAAAGGTTTTGGGAAGTCCTGAATGTAGGTAAAATGAGGAATAGAAAGAAGGAAATGATAAGAAAGGCAAAAAATAAGTGAAATTTAAAATCAAGCAAAAAATGAAATTCAATTAGTTAAGATTCTTAAAACAGAGAAATGGATTGACATTTGAGACAAAAATAAAGCCAATAGGTAATATGTTATCCCTGTAAGACAGCTAACGTTTAGGATGAGAGAGAAAATAAAGGGAGGTGAACTCTGAAGGCTTGTAAGGAGGCAGCTAAGGTAAGCCCAACTTCCCAGTAACAATATTCCATTTAGCACAGGCCCGGGGGCTGTCGCCCAGCCTTGCTACAAGGAATATCCCTCACACAGATCTTCATTCTGTGAGTGTGGAGCCTGTGCTCCATGCTGGTTGGATACTGATTACGCAACCATGAAAAAGATAGTGTCTGCATTTCGGAGCACTTTCCAGCAGGGAGACAGACTGGCAGGTAAACAGCTCTCAGTTCAGTGTCATAAAAGCTGATGTCCACACACNATGGTGTTTTTTTGGTTTTTTTTAATTGTATGTATTGATTTGAGAAACATCAATCCATTGTTTAACCCTTGATGCATTCATAGGATCACACAGATGAAAGCAAAGAACTCTCACTGGGAGGGTAAGAGAAGGCCTCAGAGAGGTGACTAGTGATTGGACTTTGATGAACAGGGAAAGCAGCAAAGTCCCTGGAGCAGAGAAAACTAAGCAAAGGTTCAGAGTACAAAATTTACACACCTCACATCTCTTCCCCCTCACCCCTCCTTTCCGCTGATTCTGAGGTGTCTTGTTTGGCAGGGGTGATATTTTTCTAAGTGGTGTGCCTAGAGTGTAGGTGGGGTGAAGAGTCCTTCAATGCCAGGATGGAAAAACAGGTTGCACCTGGTTGCGAAGGGCCTTGGGACAACTGAACAATTTACCCTGCACGCAGGGCTGTTCTCTGTTGAAGTTCCAGGAGTGAAATCACGCAGGTAGGTAACTCTGGCAGCAGTGGATGGAAGAGGTGTGTACAGGCAGGAACAGTGAGAAAGTGGTAGTGCAGGTCGGTCGGATGAGAGATGATTAGCCTTAGAAATGGGTCAGGATCAGACATTTCCAGGTAGGACTGAGAGAATCTGACGGCCATCAATCCCCATGGCCTGTGCGGCTGGGTCAGTTAGGGGCATGGTGGTGGTGGTGGTGTGGAGCCTGTGGAATTTACAGCCTGGCCAGCCACGTTCAGTCTGTCTGGCATTAACTAGCTCTGTGATTCTGAGCAGGGAATGGACACTTCCTGAGTTCAGTTCTTTTTTTTTTTTTTGGTAAAGATTGAATAACAGTGTGTGTGAATTTAATATAGTGTCTGGCACAAAACAAGTAATCCACACATTTGAGTGCCCATCAACTGGCATTCAGGGCGTCCGGGTTTTATTTCACATGGATCTTTCTGGGCGAGAGGCCCACTCTTTATTACTCATTCCTTTTTACCAAAAATATATCACTCTTCACTCTTCTCAGACACGGCCTCTCCTTTCTCACCTCTACATCTTTGCTCATGCTATTTCTCGACTATCCTTCCTCTCCTCGGTTCTCATTGCTCTCCAGGGAAGTCAGTTCTCCTTAAAGGCTCTGCTTCAAATTGTCCTCCTCTAAGGACACACCCTCCTTTTCCCCAGCTGGGAAGGATCTTTCCTTCTGTTACAGGCCCAAAGCATTTTACTGGAACCATTCTAATGACCCTGACATTTTACCTGGCTATTTTGGATATTGTGAACAGAAATTGCCAAGGTGGAGTCATTGATGCCCAAGGAACTACCATGGAACCAGGAAGCCAGGAAGAAATTTGTCTTGATTCCAACCAGCATGTTTTGTTTCTCCATGAACTTTTTTAAAAAATATGTTTTTATTGATTTTAGAGAGAGAGTAAGGGAAAGGGAGAAAGAGAAAGATGGATGTGAGCGGGAAACATCTATTGGCTGCCTCCTGTGCACTCCCTACTGGGGGTGGGGCCCACATCCCGGGCATGTGCCCTGACTGGGAATGGAACTGGCGACCTTTTGGTGCATGGGGCAAGGGCTCAACCAACTGAGCCACACCAGCCAGAGCATCTCCATGAATTTTTGCACTTTTCAGCTGCGCCTGAACTTTATCTCCTCCTCACCGTGATTACCAGACCATCTGTGTTTCTCACTTTGGAAGGTGCCAACACGTTTTGCCAACCAGCAACCTTCATTTGTACCTGGGGGTAAGCCGGCCCCTACTCACTCAGCCAGAATCCCTTTTTTCCATAAGAGGACAGCAGTGCAGCCCGAGCCTTTAGAAGCCCTGTCTTTCTGTATCCTTCCTGGACCACGACTTAGGTTGCTACCTCAATCTGTGCCCCAGACTGCAATCCCTCCTTTGCTCAAATAAACACGTATTTTTTATTATAGCCTAAATATATTTTTAACATTAAAATAATTTTTTCTCTCTTCAAAGTAGCATCTGGTTAATTTTTCTAGTCACTATAATAGTTAATTAAATGTATGGTGTTATCAAAAGTAGATTTTTAAAAAGACTAATATAATTGACTCGGATAGAGAAGAACGGTTCATCTCGTGCTCAGTGTGGGGCGTGAGGAAGATGGTTGGCGTCCTTGCTCACCAGGAAAGTCGTGGGGGGGCACTGCCACCGTTTCCAGTTCTGTCTTTGTAGCTCATAGTTCCTCCAGCGCATCTAAATATGGCAAAATCCAGCATATAAGGTCAGTAGGGAGTGTTTCAGACAACACCAACTTACTAGTTTCTGAGTTTCGGTTTTTTTTTGGATGTTGACCTGTTCTGTGGCTTAATTTAAGTGAGGGACAAAGATAATATTTGCTCTAGGACTTCAGTGCTATACAATGCAAGAAAAATATATAGTTTGACCAAAAAAATCATAATCTAGGCTAACAGCAAATTGTTTCAAAATCAAATTATCTGATTAAGTGGCATACTCTGGCTTTTTTCGCTCAGAAGCTTTAACTTAGTAATCAAGCAATGTCTTTGTTTTATTACATTAGTTCGTGGTCCCTTTGAGCACCACAAAAGACATTAGTGGAAGGTGGTGTTGAACTAAGCAGCTGGGGAAACCAGCCTACAATGAAAACTTATAAAAAACAAAAACAAAACTGGCCTTGTGTAATAGACCACTAGATATGGTAAGTTTTTTCTCAAACTCTTCTGCAAGAAAAAGCAGGTTTTGAAAACAATACCTACTATGTGGGTTTTTTAAATGAAAAAGAACAGCCGTAGTTTATGTGAAAGATCTTTATTTTCTTTTGAACAATATTAAAACAAATTATTGTGCAGTTCAGTAACAAAATAATCACGTGTTAGAGATCATCTTTAAAAGGCACTTCTGGTGCAATTACAGTTAGGTAATAGACACAATTCGATAGCTAGTTACGTTGCCACCTTACAAAATTGCCTGCTCACTTCACATTGTTCTAATGTTCTTCAGTGAATTGCTGCATTTTATAAAAATTTCAAAGTCCCATCATGAAATGTCCTCCTATTGATTGACATTTTATTTCTATTTGCTGTTAATAACATCACTAATAAACCACATTTAAAAGACATTTTTAAATGTTATCCGTTATTCATGTGCTACTGTAATCACTCCTTCACAGAGCCTCGTGGAACGATTTTAAGTACCCACATGTAAATAAGAAACTTTGTTATGTAAACCCCCTTCTAGGTATAAAAGTTGGATAAACCAGAGCTTCTTGTTGTTATTGTTTATTCCTTTTAAATGGTTGTATACTGTTATTTTTAATTATACAGTTTTAAATTGTGTGATTAGTAAAGATGACTTTTTTTCAGAAAACAGGCACCATCTAATTTTTTATATAAAAATTATAATGTAAAATTAGCTTCCCAATGCTAAATCAAAATAAAGCACGTTCTCTAAAGAACATTCACAATCGTTCCCAATTTTATCACAGATATATGTACAGAGAATCACAAGTATCAGCTCACCTGATTAGAATAATTTTCTTATAAAGAAAAACAGCCTTCACATACTCTTTCAACAAAGATACCATTGTATGATTTATGTTGAAACCCAACTAAGCGAACAACTGTCCAACAAATTTTGCACATTGTGTTCTTTCATTTTCAAATTTAAAATAAAACTTAAAAATTATAAAACACTATAAACACTGGCATCAATTGAAAGTCATACCTTTATATCTTCCTCAATAAATGAAATATTCTTTATCATAAGCTACAGTACAAACAGCACTTTTTAACTACTGATTTTTTAAAAGTAAATCTGAATTGTCGGCTTTGGCTAGAATATTCTGAAATAAAAATAAAACTCAAATTATTTCAGGCATAATCTGAAAAGTTCCAGATGTATATCTGACTGATTTTAAAAATGTAAACATATGCGTTTCCTTTTGTGGTTGTGAGGTTGCTCCATTAAAAACACAGCCCATGTGTACAACAACTATTACCATATCTCTAAATATCTTAAAAACAGAAGTCAAAATTACAATCTCGATTTCTTTGAAAAAGCAGACACAGTATTAAGAAGTCATTAATTCTGCCTGAAATACTTTCGAAATTATTTTTGGTTATCAATTGTATCCATGTGAGTTATTTCATTGAGGCCTATAGATGCTACATACAATAATTCATGACATACAGACTCTTCAATTAAGAGTTTCTCTTGTGCAAATATAGAATTTCCCTGAGATGGACCATCTTGCTGACCCACAGAAAAGTAAATATAGTAAAACTATATTCAGATTTTAATCTGAATTATAATCTAATCTGACCCACACCCAAAATGAGTATTAATAGATTTTTATCATCAGTTGATTTGTGCTAATAATTCTTTTCAGTGTACTAGTTATACATTTGTTTGTAAACAAATGTACTCAGACAACTTGTTTAAAATGAAACTTTTCGGAAACATCCAAAGGCACACGTGAATAGCTACTTTAGAGATAACTTTCAAGTGTAAAACTCAGAAAACCTCTTCTATGCTTTGAAGTACAGTATGTTAACATTTAATTACTTCAAATGTAAAGAAAGTGCATTTAAAAAGTAGTTTCCTAAATACTCATGTTGCTCATGTCAGCAGATTTTTACAAAAGTCAATCAGAGCATTAATTAGTTAAAAAATTTTTCTTTCATTCATGTAACCAGGTAGGACCTCACCCATGTATTTTTAATTAGGACGGCATTCACGTTAAATAACTTCTCATTGAACGGTGTGTGAAATACTGCTGAGATAATTTTCAGACTTCATTGTAAAATTTGTCCACTCTTGACAAATGTCCTCCATGGAGACTTCTGCACCCCCATATTCCACAGGAAGGATGTCTGGGAAATGCTGAAGTAAGCTTTGTTTGTAATTGGTCCCATGCATATGAATCTGAAATAGCCAAAATGTTTTAGAAGGTTTGCCATCTGCCTCTCAACACATTACACAATTTCCAATGGAAAACTGACACCATAAAAGAAGGTATTCTAACAACTTCCAAGACAGGAGAGCATGTGTGGAGACTACATCTTTATTCCTCTGCTTATGAATCTAAGAATTTTACTTTAGATTGTGCTGTTTATGAATCTGATCATCTTACTGTTTTCTTATATTTGTGTTCTTATAACTATACAAGATTTATTTAAAAAGATTCTTTTCCTCTTTCACAAGGAGGTTTTTAAAACTCTAAATAAAAGTATTTTATAAATTCTATTCCCTGCTGTACAAGAGATTCTTAGCAAAATATCAAATATCCTGGGACTGTTCTGTAGATGGTAAAAATGTCCTATCTGGTATTATTTCATATAAAATAAACGCATATTTCTAAGCACAAAATTAGGTACATGGGGAATAATTTATGTGATACATTTGATGGATACTCTTGGCTAGTACAAAACTAAGAGACAATTATGGTGGTTAAGAACCTTAAAATTTCAAATATTTTAAACTATAAAAATCAATCATATAATGCCTGAAGTTAATTAAGTAAAAATTTGAAAACTTGAATCAAAAGCATATCTTGTTTAAAACTAAATAAAAATAAAGATAAACCTTTCTTCATCTGTAAGGAAAAATCTTCATCTGTACATTCTACAATCATTTAATAAGCACCTACTATGTGCTAGGATATAAGGATTAAAATGAAACAAGTTTCCTGCACTCAGGAATCTAACAGTCCTCAATCCTTGATTTTTCCTGAAATGTGTAAAATATTATCAGCTGATAGAGAAGAAAGTCTACTATCTCCTCAGAAAGGGGGAAATGAGAAGATTCGTAGGGTATTGCCAAAATGATGAAAAGGAGGAAAGTGACTGGGTTGGGATCCTCCCCACCCCCACCATTTTGGCAAGTCTGTTTCATATCAACTGACTTTCCTTGAATTGCTTTACCTAACTTTTGTATTTTTCTTTCTTTTTTGCTTATATTCTCCTATTTGTTAGGTTCAGTTTATTACTGCTTTTGTTTTTCTTTGTCCAGAACATAACCCAAAAAAAAAATACTTATTTTTAGATCTTTCAGAGTTNTTCAGTTTATTACTGCTTTTGTTTTTCTTTGTCCAGAACATAACCCAAAACAAAAATACTTATTTTTAGATCTTTCAGAGTTAAACAGAGGATGGCCTGCTTTTATCCATCTACACTAAAGAGATGAAAATATAAACAAAAGAATTAATTTTTATAAAAATACTCGAATGAAAAGAGGCCATCTTCAGAGACATGGATCTTCTTGAAGACAGATACAAATATCTACTGGGCAACCTCAAAAGAAGCTCTAGGGTCACAATTTTCTAACCAGATTCAAGTGGTTAATTTTCGTATGAAACACTATACTTTCTAAAATTCCAAATATGCTATTATAGCTCACACAGTCACTATTTATATTTAAATAATGTTTGTGATGTAAATTGTCAAAGCTTTTAAAAATTGTTTTTCAGGCACTAGATGTTGCCATTGTTTGTCTAAATAAATGCTTATTCTTCTTCACAGATTAATGGATATCCTAAGAGCTATTAGATATTCAATTGCAATAAGGCTCCACAGGGTAGGTAAAAAAAAGAAAATCAAAGCTCTTTAACTAATATTATGTTAAGTCACACACCTCAAGTACTATGGTTTTCAGTTACAAATGTACAGGGTGTCCCAAACAAATGTATACACACTTTTAATGATTATAAAGTCAGTGTTTATTAACACTGAAAAAGAGCAAAAGTTAAGTGAGTTATCAGCTGTTAAAATGTGTATGCATATTTTGGGCCACCCTACATATTAATTTATTTTCATTTGCATAGATAATACATTCACATGGCTAGAAATCAAAACAAGATAAAAGATACACAGTGAGAGGTCTGGCTCCCAACCTTATCCTTCCACCCCATCCACACCTTTTCATTATATGAAGAACCACTTAAGACTGCTTTCCTTTTAATCCTTTTAAGGTACTTTTAATGCAAATATAACTAATGACTCTGATTTCTTGCCTTTTTATACAAAAGGTAGCCTACCAGAAACACTCTTCTGCATTTTGCTTATTTCACTTTCAACATATCCTGCAAATCTTGTGTACTGCATTGTGTCGATGTCTCACAGTTCACTTAACCAGTACCCTGATGATGAACACTTGGTGGTTTCCAATCATTTGCTGCAGTGATTCCTTTTGTATATACAATTTTGTTTATGTGCAGATAGGAGAAATTCCCAGAAGCACAAAGGCTGTAATTTTGATAACTATTACCACACTGCCCTCTACAGGGAATATACCATATTGCACTTCCACCAGCAATGTGCAGGAGTCCCAGTTACCCCATAAACTAACTTGATTTTTCAAAATTAAAAAGAAATTTTAATTTATAAGAGTAGTTGGCTTGTTAGATAAATACTCAAAATATTTGTTCAATGGTGGGGGCTGCTTAATAAAGCAGTTCTTAAATGAAAGAGGATTGGAACATTTGGTAGAGAGGAATAGTGACTTGAATATGTTTCACTCACCCGATCCTTAATTTTTTCGGTCAGGAATGATTTAATCATGGAAAAGACAGTATGAAAAATTATTGGCTCATTTATCAAATGGATACCACGAACTTTTAATGGAAAGGAATCCTTTTGAAAATAAAGAAAAACATCTTATTAATAGCCAAACATAAATACATATTTCTATTGACAGATCCCTTCTTTGAACACTTGCTAAACTTACAGCAGCACCTAATGTGTGTTTAACTTCCAAAATTATTTATTTTGTCAACACAACATAGCCTGCTTTATAGTTCACTGTCACAAGATTAAGAAAAGACCCCTAAAAAGTATTTACTTTGTAACTTAGGCAAAGTATTTTAAGAAATACCTTCATCTTTCATAAATATGACACAAAATTCTCTCCCAATCACATATAAATGTTCTTTTAAGGAAACAGCGAGTTATTTAGATGTTAATAATTAACCATGTCCCCCAATTTTTTATTTTGAGAAAAAAATCAAACTTTCATAAAAGTTGAAGAAATAGTAAAATAATGCACATTTTGAAAGTTTTGACACTGGTATAAGTCCGTAACATAAAAGTAATATAGGCGTATTCAGAAGGTTTAAAAAAGTTAAGAGTTGAAAGAAAAAAAGTCATCAATAGTTTTCCTACCCAAAGACATAGGAAAAAATTCCTCTTTTTTTCTTTCTCTATGCAAAGCTTTTAGAAATGTGTTATCTACTTAGGGCTTTCCCTTCCAGGTTCTTTCTATGCAAAATTTTATTTTAAACAGAATTGCTAATATGCTCTCTAAACAATTTGTATCCTGTTTTGTCAAATTGACATAATACAATTTTTGTAAACATCATCACTTTTAATATGTTGTAATAATCCACCAGATAGATATACCATAAAAGTAACCCTTCTCCTATTTCTGGAAAAATAAGCTGCTTCTGATTTTATTCTCTAAGAACGGATGCTACGGCACCTATCTTTATGTATAGGAGGCAATGATGGTTGGGAGCAGTTTTAATTTAGGTGACCTGAACTGGAACCTTCGTTTCACTGACAAAATGTATGTGCTTGGGCATTGCTGTCACCTCTCTGACATAGTTCATTAATTAGTAAAATGGGAAAAATAATGTCATATGACACAGGCTTGTGTGGCCATTAAATGGTAATTCATTCGAAACGTAGCCAAGTACATGGCACACAATAAGCTATCATTATTATATACAAGGTCTATGCTATTCTTCAGATTATTCCTTGGCTCTGTTCCTCAAAGCTGGATTACTCGGTCACAAATTGTGGCCATTTAGAAAAGCTTTTGACTTCTAAAAGAGCTGTATCAATTTTACAACTACCAAAACTTATGCGACACCTTGTAGTACCACTGCAATAAATATTATTTTTTATTTAATTTTTTAATTTAGGAAGAGACTTTTAATGAGAAAAAGATAACGCTACCACATTATTGCTTAAATGTGTAAATTCTGTGATTACTAATCTCGCACATATTTTCACAATTTGTTGCAATGTGCTTTCTTTTGTGAAGAACACTTTACTTTCTCTCAGCATTATTGAATTCTAGGTATCATTTCTAAAATTTTATTTGATTTGCTAATGAATGTAAGGTCCCTTCCCTTTGTATCACATACAACTAAATTAACATCTATTGTTTGGAAGTATTGCCCCAAAGAGTTGAACTGCGCACTTACTGTGAGAACAGAGGCAATCTTCTTGGCTACAGACGGGGTGATCTGGAAAGCGTGAGAAAACTGCCAGCCTTTCAGATCAAAGAGAGTCTTGATTCCATTCCGCTGGGTCTCTACCTCCTGTACAATAAGCTCAGATGCGATTAGACTTACACGGAACACATCATACACTGTAAAAACTTTTGGGTCCCAGTGTGCTAAAAAAAAAAAAAAAAAGTAGAAATAAAAAATATATCTCAGCATTGCATAGAAAATCAGAAAGCAAAGGGAAACAGACTCCTCTTAGACTTAACGGATGGATAAAATTTAAAGCACATTCAACGGTCACGGCATTAATAACAGATCCAATCGGTGGGCCAGAGACACGTGCCTGCTTCGCCCCAGCAAAGGACACGCTCGTAAGGGCCTGGGGAAAAGAAAGGGCGCACGCGGGTGCGTGTGACCGCCCCACGAAGCTACAGCCCAGGCACGCGGGGACGGCTCTGCCTGACGATGGGCCCCACGCTCAGAGATGCGGGAATGGGAGGAGCACGGCCTGGGCGATGAAGAGAAGCTAGGGCCCTGTAGCAACCAGCGAGATTGCAAAAGGAAAGGCCTGAGGGCTAGATAGGTTGGCTAATGTCTCTGACACCGCTGGGGGACGAGGGCAGGTGGCAGAGCCGTGTCCTGACAGGCTAGAGCAGCGTGGGCTTTGGAAAGCAGTCAGGGGCCGCTCCTGCAGTTGCCCACACCCAGGGAACACAGGGAGGCCTGTGCTAAGAGGAGTTACTGATATTCTTCCACTCTCCCCTCCCCCGTCGCCCCTGGGGCAGGCCACAGCATGCAGAAAGGACAGTAAGGGGCAGGCAATCTGAAAAGAAATACGCATCTCCTAAGAACTGTCATATTTTTTGAAACACAGTCACACAAAGAAGAGAGGAACCAAACTCAATAGACAAAGGCGTTGAAACCCAAGGACACAGTTAATAAAGCATGAAACATTAAAAGAAGCAAAATAGTTTCGGTGGGGGGTGGGGGAGATGGGCTATTACTATAAGAACAGGCTATAATTAAAAAGAGCTGGCAGGGCTCAGTGGTTGAGTGTCGACCTAGGATCCAGGAGATCTCAGTTGGATTCCCAGTCAGGGTACATGTCCGGGTTGCGGGCTCGACCTGTGGGGGTGCGGAGGGGTTGCAGGAGGCAGCCGATCAATGACTCTCCCATCATTGATGTTTCTATTTCGCTCTCCCTCGCCCTTCCTCTCTCTGAAATCAATAAAGATATATTAAAAAATCGGCTGGGATCTTAGAAATAAGATGATGATAATTCAGGCAAATCTCAGTTGATGGGACAAATGAAAGAAGACAGCCAATGAATGAATAATGGTTTGGAATATCAAACTGAGGAATTTCTCTCAAACGCAGCACAAAAAAAGCCAAGCATTGATATGTATGGACTAAAGTTAAGAGTATTAATTTTGGATTAAAGAGTATTTAAGTATGGATTCAGCTAGATCCCAAAGTTTCAAAAGCCAACTAATCAGAGTTCTGGAAGGCAATATAATACAGAGAATGGGGCACAGAGGAGAGAGGAAGAAGAATAGTAGAGACAAATCTTCCAAAGCTGAAAAAAGGTGCAAGTCTCAAGTCTTCAGATTGAATGGTCCATGGAGTGCCTCACTCCAAAATATTTAATAAGCACCTACCATGTGCCCTGGTTCAGTGTTTGGTGTACATCAATGAACAGAACAGACAGCCTATATGCATTATTATAGTTCAAAACTCTTATTTGTATCCCCCCCCCCCC